TCCTCCTCCTCCTCTGTCTCTCCTGGATTACTGTAACAGCCTCAAACTGGTCTTTGTCCCTCAGTCTTAAACCTCTGTATTTTTCATCATGAGAGACCACTTAAGCCTCTGCTTGTTTAGCTTAGTGCTTAGGTAATGACTGGACAGCAATTTCCTTAAATGTTTTGAACCAATAAGTCTCCAAGCCTTTGCCTAGTAACTGTGTGTGTGCTAAGGACACCTTCAATGCTCCAACATCCCTTTTACACCTGTCGTAGCTTTCACTTCCTGTTTACACAGAACTTCAAAGTCAGCCAAAAGTGAGAAATTAGGGCCCTCTCGGGTCTTTCCTGAGCATCGGCAGAGTCCTACAACTAGCCTTCTTGATTCCCAGAATATGTTTTAATTTTTCAAAGTGCCCTAAGGACAACTGATTCCCAGCTTTTCCTTTAATGTTTTTGGTCAGCTTCTTGTTTGCCCAACTGTTATCACTCCCTCAGGCAGCTCCAAAGTAAAACAATTAGTGATGATTATTTTCAACAGATGCTCTGGGGGGAAAAAGCTATTTGCAGTGAGTGAGATTCTGAGTCAAGTCAAATAAAAAGAAGCTCTGCAGGTTGGTGTTTCCAGGGAACTTCCAGACAGGTCAGATAATGATAGGTGTCTAAGATGGGGATTTGGGGAGCTCTAAATCCATTGTGTCCCCTCCAGTGGCTTAGTTTGATGGTTTTCACAGCTACCATGATTATCAGGTTGTTGATTTTTAAGTGTACTACAGAGCTGGGGAGGGGGAAATAGGAATAGAACAAGTTAAAACACCACAAAGCTTACAGTTCTTTAAGAAGATGAAAACATTAGTACATAAGGCTTTCTAAGTTACTTTTGGAGTCAGTTTTACAATACACTACAAGGAACTCAATTTTATTCAAGAATTTGTCACTAATTCTGAAGAAACATAATTTGAATTTCAAGCCCTGTTCTCTTGGCACCCCTAAGTTCCCTGATTGTACTATTTTGTACAAAGGTTGGTGCTTATTATATAGAGATATGAAAATTATAGCACACTCGTGGTTTGAGCCAAAAGGCTTTATGAGGAGTTTGGGAAAGTTTGGTGTTCAGCAAATTTGAAGAATTCATATGTCAGGACTGGATACTCATTAGCTAGTTTCAGTTTAACCAAACAAGACTAGCTGAACCTGACAGAGCCAAAGGAAATGCAGCAGGATCTGGAGAGACTGAGAAAAGATGGTCAAGGAAAAGTAACAGGGGTAAGGGGGATTTCAGTGTATGTTGGTATTTTAAAGTTTATGTAAACTCTACACTAAATAAAATGCATTAATACTCATGAAATTTCTGTACTGGACTATAGCACTGAGTATGCATGCCCTTGTAGGGAAAACAAGCACAAAGAAAAACAAGAAAAAGACAGAAGTGTTAGAAACATACTGAACTAAAATGTTTTTAATAACATTTACGGAAAGTGGTTGTAATGAGGAATCTCTTGAATATTTGACTCGAAGTGTTTATTTTTAATAAGGAACTCTTCCCTGACTCAAATGGTAAACCAAGATAACTTCCAATCATGGGCAGGATCTCCCAGGCTAAAATCTTATGGCTAGAAAACGAATCCCCTGATTACGTAGACATTAAGATATTTTTTATAATGCTAAAAAATTGAGAATAGTGGAACTGAGAGCAAAATACTTATGTAGAGAGAATATATGGGCCCACAATCAAAATATTTTAGTTGTGCCCTTGTCTATCGGCTACATGGATAAGTAATTCTTTTTAAGTAGTTTAGGAACTACTTAATTGTAAATTGTAAATTTTTGAGGGAACTGAATTGAAAATTCTTTTTTTTTTTCTTTTTGAAAATTCTTAAAGGTTTAATTATTTTCTGAAAAGTTTAATATAAATTACTCATGGTTTTATTTAGTTCTACATTATATAGAAGATTCGGAAGGTATCAGATGTCACCTTCTGCTCTTTACTCTATCCATTATTAGTCCCCTGCCTTCATTTCAAATTTCTCCCTAATAATTTTTATTTTTTCTTCTTTGGTTACAGATAAGATCCCTTCCCCACTCCACGCCCCACTCTCAGTCACTCTGCTTCTTATCAATAAACTTTTCCTCAACTCTACTTCTTGTTTAAGCTCAGGCTGATTTTTCTTCTCACCTTCGATGCCCAAACTACTGAAGAGCTGTCTACTCCCACATAACCACAGCATATCTCCTTGCCATCCAGCTCATTGGCTGTTTCACAGCAAAATTTCTTGTCCAGCAGTAGACTGAACCTTTGGCTTTTCAGATATTCTACTGAAACTGCTGAAAGGATAGTCAATGAGGACGTCCTTAAACAGTTCAGAATAACCCGATGGTCTTGCCTTAGTTCCCTTCTTACAGTAGTGTGTGCTTCCGGCTCTCCATCTGCATCACTGTCTGCTTCTTCAATCGATACAACTAAGTCCAAAACTAGTCCAGGCTCCTCAATTCCAGGAACGCTAAGGTATGTTTCTAAGCTTTTACTTTATAGTATTTACTTAGTTGTACTCTGGGTTCCCATTGAACTCAATCATTTGCTTTTCCTTAAATATACTTACTCCTCACTTTCCTCTCTCCATTGGTTTGCTTATTCAAGTTTCCCCCCAATTCTGAACCTCTATCTCTACCTGTGAAAATGCACTTCAAGCGATGCATCAGTCATAGGAATTGGGTGAAGTTATTTTTTTACATTAAACTTTAGTTTTAGATGATTATAGATTCACATGTGGTTGTAAGAAATAGTGCAGAGAGATCCTATTGCGCCCTTCCCCAGTTTTCCCAGTGGAACATCTTACAAAGCTGTAGTATGGGATTGCAACAAGGAAATTGACATAGATATAAACCCGTGGTGCTTTTTCAGATTTCACCAGTTTTGCATGTACTTACTGTGCATGTGCATGTATTTAGTTCTATGTAATTTTATCATGTATGTTCTTGTGTCCACCACCTCATCAAGATATAGAGGTTTCACTATGTGTTTCTCTTTTGTAACCTCCCTCCCTCTACCACATTCCCTCATCCCTAACCCTGGTAACCACTACACCACTAATCTGTTCTCCATCTCTATAATTTTGCCATTTTAAGAATGTTATACAAATAGAATCATACACTATATCACCTTTTGGTTTGGTATTTTACATTCACCACAGTTCCCTTGAGAGCCATCCAAGCTGTCACATGTGTCAAGTCATCTATTTTTATTGCTGAGTCCATGATATGGACATAAGTGGTAAAGTTTTTAAATGCTCTTGTGGGAAACAAGAAGGAACTGAGTACAGATGTGAGGAAGTATTGCTGACTCAGCTGAGGGTGGGGGCCATTAATTCATATCAAATCCATCTCCTCTGTTGTATACTTTTTGTACAGCAGCACTCATTAGCCTTGGTGTATGATTAGAAAAGCAGATGATTGGATGAATTAAGGTTGGGGTTTTGACCAGCAGTTTACCATGTATTCATTCTTATTTACTATTCACTATATGTTGGAGAATACACTGAAAGTCTACATAGATTATTTAACTTAACCCTCAACACAGCCTAAAGAGCAGATAGTCATCATTATCCTCATTTGACAAGTGAAGAAATTGAAGCCTAGAAATTTGAATCAATTTTCCCATGATCATAGGGTAAGTGTAAAAGAACAGTGAAAGTATGTGAACCCAGGTCTCTCATAGTCTGAAGCCCCTGTTGGTAATTATTATGATAATAGATTCTCCCCCAAAGAGCCAGTGGCAAAGGAGTTGGGGTTTTGGAAAGTGGAAGGACGGGGAAGAAGGTAAGGGTGGCAACACACTTGGGGAATTATTGGAGATCTAGTTGCTGAGACAAGGGAAGCTCTAATCTGTACTCTGCCACCAGCGAGTTGTGCTAACTCAAGCAAATCACATAAGTTTTTCTAATGTGATTTTTACCTGTAAAATGTGGATAATAATATTTACATTTACCTACTTTACTAAATTATTGAGAGGATTTGGAGGTAAAATGCAGGAATTTTCTAGGAAGCTAAAAGTGCTACACAAATATAATTTATTTGAATAGTAAAATAATTCTTTTCTAATACCACTACCACTCTGACTTACAACGTGAGCTACAAGTCATGCTCTATGGACCAAAATTTTTGCCTGAGGAAATTTGAACTACAAAAAAGTATAATACATATTATATTAACATATATACAGACACAGAGAAGATATATCGTGTGTATGCATGGATATATGTATGAGTGTGGAGGAGGGGTTTGGGTAAGACTGAGAAAAGCAACAGTCTTCATAATATCACTAGTGTTACATTATAAAACATGGTCAGATTAACTCGACAAAGGGGTGTTGGCCTTCTGGATAATTTTTCTGAGGGACTTGAAGAATCTGAAGTTCCCATCTTCAATACCCACATAGGAACACTGGTTAAAATTGACTGGGAATAAGGGTAAAGGGTTAATAAAGACCATGAAGACTGGGTGGGAGGGGAATGAGGAAGGAAAGCCAGAGAGGAAGGGCTGTTTATGCCATCATCTTCTATGCCGTCATCCAGACTTCCTATGTATGTGTTAGTTGTATAATGGCAAAATTTTCTTTTCAGCAGCGAGCTGAACCTCTGCTTTTCAGACATTGTAGGCATGGTGAAGAAATTAGAAACTGTACAAATACCACCTGTAGTGGACATTTGTGGTTTTGCTACTGAGCAGCCTCCAATCACTCTTTTCCTGACAATAGCATTCACAGCTTCTTAAATGAAACCTTTCTTTTCTTTCTTTCAAGTTTAGGTTAGGTGGCATAAACCCACCTCCGCCAGGGGTTGTGAGTGACCTCAGCCTTACCTTGGGGACAGTGATGGGCTCAGGGATACGTCTATGATCAAATTCAGGTGAATGAGGGTCAGGCTCTTAGATTTGGTTCTGGTTGTTAGAGAAGAGAAGGCTCTTCTTTTCTGACAGATTTCTAATTGTGAGGTTGGGAGCCCACTGCTGCCAGCCATGTTTTACCACTATTGGGTCAGCCTGTTCGAGAATGGAGCCAACAGAGAGGCAGGGGAACAGGCAGTTCATGAGAACTCATTCTAATGATTTGAGTTCAGCCTCTGTTTTTTCAGTTATATCAGCCAACAAATTTATTTATTTATTTATTTTTAGCTTAAGCTATGTTAGGTCCAATTTCCTTTCGGTTACAACAAAAGAGCCCCAGTTGATTGCAGCAGAGACGGCCAATGTCCATTTTTCTCTCCTTCCAGAGTAATAAAACTATGGTAACCAACCGGTTAGCACTGAAATCCTGTGTTTTATGAAAGCCCTTAGTTCCGGGCAAACCAGGACAGTTGGTTACCCTAAGAGGCACGTGGGCTGCCTGGAATAAAGCCTACATTTTCCAGCCTAATATAGCCTGGTAGGCCATGTGATTAAGTTCTAACTAGTGGAATGTAAGTGGAAATAGTACAGCTTCCAGGAAACCTCTGCAACAGAAGAGAACATGATCTCCCTTTCTTACTTTCCATTGACTGGGATATGAATGTGATGGCTTGGCTTCCACCAGCCCTCTCAGACCAAGAGAAAACTTCGGGAACAGAACCACTTGTGGCTAAGCAACAAGATGCAAGGAGTCTGGCACCCTGACTCCATGGCATGCTATCCTACTCTGGACTGACCATCTCTAGATTTCTTGAATCTGAGAGATAATTGAGCATCTATTAAGCCTCTTTTTTTTCTCTATAACTCACAGTTTAATCCCAACTCACCAATACAATATTTAATTGAAAGGAAACTTTTTTAATGTGTGTTTGTTTCTCAAAACATTACAGCTGCTGTAAGTTCACTGTCCAAACTCTCTGATATGGTCACAATTTCAACATGAGAAAATGTTCATTATAAATTTATCATCAGTTTTGATGGTACCCGTAGATATAACAGAGGTAATGGCATTTATTTATGATCCATATTAGTAGTGGATGCTTTTGCTTGCCTACTTGGTATTCACTCCCCCTACTCCTCCTATTCACAGAACCCCAATTTTGTAAAGATTTACACTTCCACCTTTCTTCACACTCCTCACAGGTTCAGAAATAGAACTTGTTATGGTTAGTTTTAAGTGTCAACTTGGACAGACTATAGTATTCAGCTCTCTAATCAAGTATATATGTCCACTATTGGTCCCGTTTCTCACTTCTGTTGGTTCTATTTCTCTGGATGCAGACCTGATCAGTACATGAGTAATTTTAACCCTGTGGCAGTAATTGGTTCTGAACCAGATTTGTGACCCAAATTAAACTAATGTTTGATCTGAAATTCTGGAGAAGTTCTTCCTTGTAATTCTGAGAGCTTTGAGTCGTAACTGCCTTTCTCTTCTTCTGACAGTAGTTCCTTAGATATGAGGCCTGGAATGGCTGCAGGCTGAGGATGAAGCCAACCCTTAAAGAACGCAGAGCCAAAAGACTTGCAGAGAAATGGAGGTGCTGCTGTAAGTCATCCCTGGAGCCTGTCCTACCTATGGGATTCATTTTCCAAACATGTTTTTCCTCATTGTTTAGGTTGTAGTTGGGTTTTCTGAGACTTGCAGCCAAAATTATTCTACCTAATACAAAGCTTTTCCTTAAGATAAGTTCCTTAGGATATTAAACAGATAGTGGGGCCGGCCAAGTGGCACATTGGTTAGGAGTTGGCTTGGGATGCCAGCTCTCAGCAGTAGGGCCCCGGTTCGGATCCCACATGAGGGCCGGTGACACTGTGCCCTCTACAGCTAAGATGGTAAACAACAGCTCGACATGGAGCTGGGCTGCTGTGAGTCGCCGGCGATGGCGTAGGCTGCAGTGGAGCTAGCTGGCAGCAGGTGTGAGCTGCCGTGAGCTGCCATGAGCCACTGTGAGTGGCTGTCCAATGGTCAGCGAGCAACTGCCTCACCTGGGAAGAACACAATGATAATATTAACATGGGCCAGTGAAGTGACATCCTCCACAACTAGACTGAAGAACAAAAAAGGACATCAACTTGTCTGCTCTCTTTTCCCGATTCCCCAATGCTGTTACCCTCCCCCAATTCCCCAATAAAATCTTTTTAAAAGAAAAGAAGATAGTTTAGCTGATCTGTCAGTTGAAATTTATGGTTTGTGTGGATATAGTTTTAAAATGTCTGCTTATTGGGCCGGCCGAGTGACATGATGGTTAAGAGCTGGCTTGGGATGCCAGAGGGCCCCGGTTCGGATCCCACATATGAGGGCCAGTGACACTGCCCTCTACAGCTAAGATGCTGAACAACAGCTCTACATGGAGCTGGGCTGCCGTGAGTCGCCGGGGACGGCGTAGGCTGCAGTGGGGCTGCAGTGGGCTCCCATAAGCTACCTTGAGTGGCCAGCAGCCGGCATGAGCTCTCTCTCTCTCTCTCTCTCTCTCTCTCTCTCTCTCTCTCTCTCTCTCTCTCTCTCTCTCTCTCCCCTTCCCTCTTCCCAAATGTAAAATTTTTTAAAATTGAATTGCCAATTGCTTTTTCAGATGACTGTAAACAGCTACGTGAGATAAAATTTTGTTCAGCTTGGGTTTACCTAAAGATCTCTAGAAATCAACAAGACTGAACTCTTGTCTCCCTTACCAATCTGCTCCTCCTCTAGATTCATCCAAGTAAGTAAATGCCCCTGCCATTAGCCAAGTAGCTCTTGATGGAAATCTAGAAGTCATCCTGGACACTTCTTTCTCCTTTCATATTCAATTCTGTCAACAAGTCCTATTGGTTCTACCTATATAGTGTTATAAAATTGATTCACTTCTCTCCATTTCCACTCTCCCCATTCTGTATGAATTACTTTATTTCTCATCCAGAGACTTAGTCTCCCAACTGAACTACCCACTTCTCTTTCACATTTTTTCCATTCCATTCTCCTTGTAGCAGCCATGGTGATGTCATTAAAATACAACCTGATCATACCACTCTCATGCTTAAAATACATCTATAACTTCTTTTCCACTTAAGATAAAGACCACAATTTTTAACATGGCATCAGAGGCCCTGCTTGATCTGCCCCTACTAAGCTATACCCATAAACTGTATTGTATTCTTTTGGTTCAAGCAATAGAAACTGACTCTAATTAGTTTCAGAATAAAGATACGGGAGACTATCAAGTATCAAGGAAAGGTTAAGCAGCCAAGACTCAGGGAGTTTAGTTCTCCCCAGGGAACTCAGCAACAGCTGGTGGATTTTTCTCTCTGGATTGCTGACATTTAATGTAATTAATCTTGTCTCTGTGCTTCCCTCTTCTTCAATGTTTCAAATTACCAGGAGAAAGAATCTGATTGGCTTGTCATCTGTAAGATTTTTACCCCAGATCTATTATCTACCCTTGGATCTATCTTGTTTATTACCATAGAACCCGTGCCTGGCATAGAGTAAGTGCTCATTAAATATAGAACCAATGGCCACCTAATTGAATAAATGAATTGACTATGGCCAAAAGACAGGGTCAGTTAATACAGACATGGACAATGGGTGCTCACTTCAGGGTTTGTGATCCATTGCCAACGATTGTGAATGAGGCATCCACCTCAGGAGATAACTTCTACACATGCTCTCCAGCTTCACTTTGCTCTACTTTCCCCCTCATACCAGCAGTCTTTGGCCTTCTCTCATTCCTCCAAACTATCAACCTTTTCCAAACTCAGAGTCTTTGCATATGCTATTCACTGATATGTTCCTGATATGTGCCTGATATGTTCTTCTTCACTGTACTGGTTATAGATTGATTGCCTCTCAGCTCCAAATTTATCTTTTTTGCCTGTTTTCTGAAAATATATCCGGGTCTTTTAAATACATTTTTCCTTTGTCATTAGACACAGTGTTAAACTTTGTCAGTAGAGGGAGCTAGAGAGACACTGCAGGAGGCAAAAGGTCTTCTCTTGTGGCTTCTTAGCAGGCTCCTGCAGCATGGGTAGCTTCTTTGGCATAATGTTCCTGCCACACATGCAGCTTCCCTAGCACACCCTAGGGAGTTTTGTAGCAGAATGCTTCTTGTGAAATATGTTGCCATAAGCAGCTTTCCCCAGCACCCTGGAGGGCAGATTTCTGGCAAGTTCCAGACAGTGGAGTTCCAGCAAGTTCCACGGGTGTGGACTACAGCAACTTCCCTGTCATCCAGCTACCCATAACCATGAGCTCTCCAACAATATCTGGATCTCTATCCCAGGGGTATTTCTTATCTCGGCTATTCCTCTATTCCTACTTCTTCCTAGTTAATCCATTGCGACTCCAATCCCGTTGTAGTTAATAATTTTTTATGTCAAATTGTTTCCCTTTTCAAATTACCACATTGTTTCTTTCTCCTGATTGGAATCCCAGACTGATTACACACCCCTACTCTTACTTGGCTAATTTTATTCATCCTTTAGGTGTTAATATCATTTCCTCAGAGAAGTCTTCTCTGATATCTCAAATCAAATTGTATCCCTTTCCTTTTCATTCATAGCATCTTCCACAATTTTAAAATTATGCATTCATTTGTGTGATTATGATGTTTCTGTCTTCCCCCACTACATAATAGGCTCTAGGAAGGTAGTGATCATGTTTATTTACTGCTATAATCTCAGTGCCTATAATAGTTCATAACCCAACAATGGGTCATTAAATGAAAAGGGGAGTAAACCTTTAGTGAGGTCCTGTGATATGCAAATATTAGTAGTGGCAACTAAAAGGAAAAAAATCGAATTCAATCCCTGTTCATAGGGGTTTGGCAAATTTATATGAGAAAATAAAAGTCACATGAAAAATATAAATCAATAAAGGGAAGTTCCCCCAAAATGGACAAGTTATAAGTAATTCAAAGGCAATCAAGAATTTTATTTTTTAAAAGACAATGTTATTTATAAATATCCTGAGAAATTAATTTCTTCTTAGCTAATTGGATTTTATCCATTATACACCAGTGAGGAGGAAAATGATACAAATGAAATCAATTTATTTTAGATCATTGTTGGTAGATTCATAATGAGTTATTAATTTCTCTGAGTTTTTAAAATGTAGCATATTATTTTTTTATATTCATGTAGGTTTCCTAAAGTAAAAATAACTAACTAGAAAATTGGAGAAAATTACTCATATTTCTTCTTTTCTAGGACAGGGATTCTCTGACTTGAAGTGCTTTCTTTAGTGTGCATTGGTGAGGGCAGTCTGTTATTTGTTTATATGTATGGTGAGACAATCTTCTATTGGTGGTTACTTTGGCATGATCTTGGAAAAATCATGGAATCATGTATTCTAGGGTTTGGTGCCATTAATAATCACATTCTGTCAAGTTTCTTCATCTGGAAATGAGGGCTGTACTACAGGCTCTCAGGTTCCTTCCAGCTCTCTCTGAAGACATGCGTAATGCATACACTTGAGCCATCAGTTGAGCATTAATCCCCAGTGTCAAGTATGTTTCCTGCTGAAAGTCCATGGTTTAATGAATCACTGGAATTGTAAATCTTATTTAAAACATACACGGTGAGGTTTGGCATTTTTAAAAAAGATTTTATTGGGGAATTGGGGGAGGGGAACAGCGTTGGGGAATCGGGGAAAGGGAACAGACAAGTTGCTGTCATTTTGTTCTTCAGTCTAGTTGTGAAGGACATTGCTTCACTGGCCCATGTTGGTATTATCATTACGCTCTTCCCAGGTGAGCCAGTCACTCGCCGGCCATTGGACTGCTGCTCACGGTGGCTCACGAAAGCTCAAGCCCGCTGCTGACGAGCCCCACTACAGCCTACACCGTTGCTGGCGATTCATGGCAGCCCAGCTCCAGGTCGAGCTGTGTTCACCATCTTAGCTGTAGAGAGTGCAGCATCACTGGTCCTCATGTGGGATCTGAACTGAACTGGGGCCCTGCTGCTCAGAGCTGGCGTCCCAAGCCAACTCCTAACCAACACACCACTCGGCCAGCCCAGGTTTGGCATTTTGAGATGTCAAGTGATTATTAGTTTCAATTCTTTAGCCCACGTTGATCATATAATGCAACTTTCCTGGCCTTCACCTTCCTGATTAGAGAGTAATATATTGACAAGATAATATGGAATGTTGTTCAATTAATAAACATTCTCTGAGCATTTATTATGTGCCAGGCACTGTAGGAGGCACTAAGAACACAGAATTAGTAAACGACTCGTGCCCTCTACATTTAGGGTGAATCGAAGGACGAAGAGACAGGTGTTACAAAGGTGTTAGAAAGCCATTTAGGTCAATCACTTATAAATCACAACACACCAATCCCCTATTTTTAGTAGTGCCTATTAAACAAAAAAACTACCTTCCACAAGAAATAAGATAAAACGGAGATTATTCAAAATGTACTGTGTTGGGACGGCCGGTTAGCTCAGTTGGTTAGAGTGCCATGCTCATAACACCAAGGTTGCCGGTTCGATCCCCACATGGGCCATTGAGTTGTGCCCTTCACAACTAGATTGAAACAACTGCTTGACTTGGAGCTGATGGGTCCTGGAAAAACACACTGTTCCCCAATAAAATATTAATAAATGATTTTTTTTTAAAAAATGTACTGTGTCAAATTGAAAAACAAAAACACTAAGTTAAAGATTTGTTTGGCCAGAGGAAAGAAAACAGGATGCAAAGTGGAAGTTGGACTCGTTGACTAAGTGCGTTGAAACTCATAATTGAGAGGATGAAGTTTATACACAATGAGCACTTTAAGGAAGGGCTTCGAAATGTATAACAATAAAAATTTTTGTAAATGCAAAATTTTGGTATTATTGGACGTGAGATGGTTAAAGTAAGTTAAATGTGAGCTGGCCAAAGTAGATCAGAAATAAAACAAACGCAGCTGCTAAAATTAAGATTTAGAAAGGCGACACTCAACCACGCAGACTGGGATCTCCCACTAGTGTTTGGAGCTCCCCACCCATATGCCCAATTATCTCTCCGAGACTTGGGTGAGCTACAAGGGTGCCATCAGGCTTTCCATTTCTGACCAGGAAATTATAATTAGGCAACCTCCTCACTCCAAGACCAAAACCGACAGTCCTTTCTCCGGACCTTTCTGACGGCTCTACTGACTACAGCTGCAGCGTGGGATAGAGCAATAGCAAGGTATTGCATACCACCCGCCCACCAGGCAGCTGCTGCCAACTTCTCTCTTCCCAGCACTCCGTAGAGAGTGCTGATTTCCCATTGGATCAGCATGAGGGCATGGATGGCTCCCGATTGGTTTAAAAGAGGGGCGGGAGAGAGGCGTGCCCTGACGTCACACCCGCCCCTAAAGTATCCTTGCTGCTCAGGATTATGGGAGGGAGGGGATTTTCCAGAAGAAGAAAATAACCCGGAACGACCTCTGCGAGCCAGGGCCTGCATTTCTCCGGAGTTGAGGTTCCCACCCACCAACCAAACGAGCTCCGCCCCACACCCCGCCCTCACCCGGGCATCAGGTGACCCCAGACCCGCGCGGTCACGTGGTTGGGGTGCGCCTGCTTGTTGTGGCCATGGCGGCCGCAGACTCCAGTGTGGTGAGGCGAGTGGAAGAACTCGGGGACCTAGCTCAGGCCCACATACAGCAACTTAGCGAAGCCGCCGGTGAAGACGGTGAGGGAGCCGGGGAGAGGGAGGCGGAAGGGCGGACAGTGGCTCGGAGCTGGTGCTGTGCAGCCGCAGGAGCTGGAGGCTGCGGCCTGTGGGTCGGGTGTATCCCGTGTCATAACTACCAGAGGTGCTGCGCTTCTGACCCTCGCTGCCCGGTCAGCTGTCCACCCCGAAGAACTCATATTTGCCTTAAACCACGCCGTTTGCGTCGAAACCGCGTTTTCCATAACCCATGAAAACCCGCTCACATCTCGTCAAATCGGTGCAGCTTTCCTTTAACTGTCCCGGTAGCGATTGGGAAAAGGGCAGAATCCGGATAAGAGTACACAGGAAAGCTTAAAAGAGTGGTTAAAGCTGAATGATACCACGCAAATAAGTAATGGTAGTTTGGTGTGCAGTAAAGATAGCTAGGAGAGCATAACAGTTTCACTTTTGTATTGCTACTTTGTAAATTTCTGTCTTCCGTTTTGAATTCTAAACTCAACTGTAAACAATATTCTACGGAAGAGCTCTACATTGGCATAATTTAGACAATTCTTTCACATGCATCACCTCAGTTCTCACGAGGGCTCTGTCAGGATAGAACAGTTCTTTGGAAGTGTCTAAGCGGTTTCCTTAGGGAAAACTGGCTTAGAATTACCTCAACTTCTGATTTTAATTCTCTTTCATTACTTCCCAGCTGTCTGTAGGTTTTACATTATTTCTTTTTGAGTTTTCAGCCTTTACTACAGATCGGTTTTAAAATTCTTGGGGACTGACTCATTGTCATCGGACTCATAGGAAAATAGTAGTGGGACGTTTACCCAAGCGATTGAATGGTTGCTGAATTTATGGAACAGGGTCTGTTATGACGTGGCTCTAGTTCTAGTGAAGATTATTTGCTGAATTATCTTTTCTTAGGAGTATGCTCTTCAAAACTCACAGAACACCGAGAAGCCGACTTCTTTTTTGGTTTGTGGTAAGTGAATCCCAGGATTCACATGAATAGTTCATGGATGGTAGTAGCTATTACCTGGAAGTGTATCTAAGTTACTTCTAAATAAGCTATTTAGTGATCTCCACTCCACCCCAGCTCCATTTGAACCCATCTAAAGAGATCAAAGAATGTTTTTTATTCACTTATCACTGAACCCCAAAGTCATTCTCATTTTCCCATGGAAGAGTTATTTAGTCTAAAATGAAAGCTGGACATAAAAGTCATGTGGTATACGTGTTTGGAAGCTTTATAATTCTGAAAATTTACTAAAAATAATACTGGTCTATATTAGGAGTTATTAATTAGTATTACTAGCATAATTTTATTATTTTGTGACGTTTAATTAAGATGTGGTTGCATGTATTTGAATTGAACTTGGCATTTTTTTCCTATGCAACAAAGATAATATGCATTTAAAATCTGTCCAGTGATGTAACAACTGTATATATTATATTAGGTTATAGGGATTGATAGTTCCTGCTGTCTTCTTCAAATTAGATCAGATACAGCCAGACATTATTCCATCTAAGAATGCTCTCCTTTTCATTTTTCACAACATTTCATTGTTCATTGATTTCTCATTGTACAAGCACAGTATGTTTATTATATGGAAGTATGCCACGAGAAGAACTTTTTCCTCTCATTATGTAAGAACCACTTTTGTCTTGCCAGTCATTACTTTGACTGAATGGTTCTAGTAAAAATACTGCATTTCATGAAAATTTTCTAAAATGTGAGCTATTATTATCCCCTCCCCCACAGTAATTATAATATGTCATGAGTTCATGTGAGATACTCCTTCAGCAATGGTTTAGTGAATTCAGTGCAAATCTTTACATTTAAAGTAATCCTGCAAATTAAGTAAAAAATGTCAACACAATCTCTAAAGTAAATAAGGCGTGCCATGTTCCACACAATTTCAGTTCACAGTAGAGTCTTTTTTTCTGGGTCATATAGATGATACTTCCAGGCTGAGGAGAGATGAGAGGGCAGTGCTAAATAAGTATCAATTCAGGTGAATAGTGGGCCTTACAGCAATCAGAATCTGGTCTAGATACGGCTTAGGCCTCACCTGAGAAAACTTAAGGTCATTATACAATTGACATAATATAAGTTGTCGCGTGCCTTCGCTCCAGCACTGAACAGCTTATCCATCTGTGTACGAGCTGAGGCTGGATCAGATGGGCCTGCACCAAGTGCTACATTTTCTGTCCATTGGCCAGTGAGGAGGAAAGGATATGTATTTCAGGAGGGAAGCACAGAGGGGCAAACTCACGTTTGTGTCTTGGTGGGCATATCTAAATTGGATTACATGAGGTAATGCAGAATGGTGGATAGCATCTTGGTGTGGACCTTTTGTAGTTAGGGAGGAAAAATTCATAAGAAAAGGTACAACCGTAGAAGCAAGGGGAATATGATGTTGAAGAAAGGAAAAAGTCAGGGGACAATGTTGGGGGGGCCATATCAGAAGTATTTAGTTCTAGTTCTTCCAGGATTTGAAGGGATGAGGTAATTTGTTCCATATCTGGGTTTTAAAATAATATACAGATGTTATATAATTTTAATTATAATTGCAATTACATACATAAATACATAAACAACTGTATTAAAGTTTTAATTGCTCAGAGTGCTGATGTTCTGTGAGACATTTGATTTAATCAATAATGTTTTTTGGAAAATACATTTATGAAATTGTAAGTTTTCAATGGAATCCCTTTCTGTAGATTTATGTATATCATTTGTACTGTTGCAATAAAAGTTTTAAATTTATTATTTAAACATTTGAATGTGTTGATATCATAAAAGAAGCAACATGAAAATACAGACTTCATTTAAGAAATGGCAATAGTGAAAGTTTTTAGTCTACCTTTCCAGGATGAATTTCCATGTTGAATTAGCTTAGTTGGGATTATGCATTATGATATCCCTTTGTTTTACAAAAGATATTATGATCATGCTGCCTGTCCAATACCACAGCATAATTTCCTCCAGTCATTTCAGATACATAACTTTTTTCTGTTTAGATAACACTCTGAAACTATGTGAAGTAATCATGTTTTTATCTCTTCCAGATCACTTTTTAATTCGGTCCTCTGCAGCTCTAGAAAAATTGAAACTCTTGTGTGGAGAAGACAAAGAATGCTCAAGTCCATCAAATCTACTAGAACTTTACACACAGGTACTAAAATAGATGTGGTTTCAGACATGTTATAGGTGCAGATTGTTTATTTAAATGGTTGACTCCAAAGTTTACATGTAATGAAATCAGTTTATTCTCTATTTAAAGTGTTTAATTTTGTTCAAAAAACTGTATGTATAAAACATATAGATGTGAAATTTTGAGGCAATACTGCAAACAAGGTTTATTAGATGTGTTGATAAGAAGAGTCAGGAAAAAAATCTTGCACATAACAGAATTGCTTCCCTTTATAGATATTTAAGCAAAACAGGAATATGTACAATTTCCAAGTTCTTACAAGGTATTCACAGGGAATGGAGGACTCGATAAGAACCCAGTTATTTTTTTCCCCTGAAATTCACCTTTCCTTGGGATTTTCAACATGAACCTCCACTGTTGTCATGCAAGTCTATAATATTGCTCTGTTCCCCTTTTACTTTGCTCTCAAATTCAGGCCTCTATATGGACAAGAACTGTTTTCTTGGTTTTCTCAAACACTGCCGAGTCAAGTTGACATTCAACATAATGTCATTATAGTAATTAACATTAGTATAGACTTTATAGTTGATAGTGTTTCATATGCCCTTAATCACTGAGGAATACTAAAGATGATGTGTTTATAGAATGCAAAATAAACTTAGTTAAGCTTCCAGAGTGCACATTTACAGCACCCCCATGCCTAGCACTGTGCTTTCTGTTAGGAGGTACATAAAGATGGTTTCTGCCTTCAAATGTCATGGTTGAATGAGCCTGTTAACAACTACTCACAAACCACAAAGAGCTGTTATAATTTGGCAGAACTTTGCTGGCTTTCTTTTCTTTTAAAAGGCTCCCTGCTCGTCTCATTTCTATCACATGGGAGAGCTCTAAACACTTAAATTTATTTCCAGGAATAAGGCAAAAGACCTAAAGATGCAGATTTACATTCCACAGACCCCCTGGGACCCTACTTAAGCCTTCCTTCCACACAAGAACACATCACTTCAGTAGTGCTGTGTGCTAGGTAATGTTCTAAGTGCTTTACACATGTTAATTCAGTTTATCTTCAAAGCAAGGAACTTTGAAAGGTGTTTAGTCCAATTTCTTTATTCTACCAATGAAGAAATTGAAGCTCAGAAACATAAAATCAGCTTCTCCTTTGATTAGTCAGGTGATTAGTGGTAGAACTGATACTAGAGCACAGTTTCATGGGACTTAACTCCAATAGATTTAAAAAAAGGTTTGGGGAGTTTTAAGGTGCTTAAACATAGTGTCTTGTATTTTAAAATGCTGGAGACTTAGAGTTTGAATTGCATAATGTTGGTGATTTGCTTGCTGCCTTTATTGGGTGGCAGGATACATTTCCCCCAAATGCTCAATCTACATTTGAGAAAACAAATCCTTTAAAGATTCAATTTACAAAACTAGTGGTAGTGACCTTGACATTATACAGCAGCCATTTAGAAAATTTTCAGTGTGAGTATGTGTGTGTGTATAAGTATATAATATAATAATTGTACTTTTCATAATTAATATTCTTTATGCTTATCTTAATTAAAACATAAATCTCCATTTTATTTATTGAGGGAAGAAAGACTATAATTAATTCAGTATTTTAGTAAAACACCTATGAAGTTTTCCACAGAGTCCATCTAAGATTATGTTAACAACTAGACATTTTGCTTACTTTGCAAATTTAAATACTGTGCTAGAAGACTTAAATGTCTACTAAAGCATCTATATATGTAAGGATAAACTGTAAGAGTTATTCATTCGGGTTTAAATCATTTAAAGATAATTGTTTTCTTTTACAATCAGGCTATTTTGGACATGACATATTTTGAAGAGAACAAGCTAGTAGATGAAGATTTTCCTGAAGATTCTTCAGAGAAAGTAAAGGAGCTGATCAGCTTTCTTTCTGAACCAGAAATTTTAGTTAATGAAAATAATAAGCATCCAAAAGTAAGTTTTACACTCATGAATTATGGTGGAATGCTGCTGATTCTTACTATGTCTTGCTCTTTAGAGTCTGCATTTTTTCTTAAATGTGTCTCTGTTTTACGTTAAGATTGAAGGAGGGATATATGAGAGTTTAACACTTCAGACCAACGTCACAACTAAAGTATTGTATTTTACTAAATATGTATCAGAATATTTGCATGATGGAATTGTATTGTAATTACAGTGCCTGACAATTTTCTGAACACAGATGTTTGCTATTTCTGTTCCCTTTACTTTTGCAGATGCAGTATTTTTTTGAAGGTCTCCAGTAGCCTAATTAACCACATATCTTGTCCTTTTTACAGTCCTCATCCTCCTGGACAGTTGCTGCCTTTCTCCCCATTGAACAACCTGTCCCTCCACAGCATTGCATGCTCCTCTTCTCCATTTCTGAGAAGTCTTGCTCTTGCTTTTTCCCTAGCATGTCCCATTTCTCCCATTCTGGAAATACAGGCCCTCCCGTGGATGTCTCATTAATCCTCTGACAGCCTTTTCTGTCTTTGCTTTACAATCTGTTCACATGCTCTTTACTGTCTTCTCTATTTAGATGATTCCAAGATTTTTATCTCTAGCCATGGCCGCTCTTTCAAGCAAATAATTTCTCATCTCTAACTGCCTGCTGCCTATCTTCTACTAGATATCTTTTTTTTGCTCTTTGTGTTTATGAGGGGATGCTAACTGTGGAAACAAATAACCCCAAATTTCAAATGACACAGCACTAAAAGTTTGATTTATTAAAATTTAATGATTTTATTCTAGCAATAATAGAAATAGGTAAGGTCTTGTTTTAAGTAACATGTATTTCTGAAAAGTTATCTTTTTAATCAGATTATGGAATATTTATATTTTAGATATATTAGAATTTGCTACTAAAATATTTAAATATTTTCTAAAAATATTTGTAAATTGGAGTAGTTATTTTAATTTCCATGTACAATAGATTTCTGTATTTCTAATTGATTCAAAGTAAGGCATTCTTGGGCTGGCCGAGTGGCGCGATGGTTAAGAACTCGCTTGGGATGCCAGAGGGCCCCGGTTCGGATCCCACATATGAGGGCCAGTGAACACTGCCCTCCCCAGCTAAGATGCTGAACGACAGCTCAACCTGGAGCTGGGCTGCCATGAGTCGCCGGCGACGGC